GTTCAAATGCTGTATAAAATCTACCTAAAAACAGAATGCAAAGATTTTCAAAGCTCAAACCCATATTTTATTCACAATAGAAACTAGAAAACATATCCAATGTTTAATCTGAGAAAATGTACCATTTTAAGAAAAAAAATAAGGTAATTTTAATAGTGACGGTAGCTAAAACTGGGACAGGGCAACAAAAAGCTGGCAAAGTAAGTGGCACTAACAAGGAAGAGCTGGAAGAACATTTTGTAACTAATTAGGTTAATTGAGAAGAGGTTAGTAACATGATTGAGTATAAAAAGAGCATCTTACAATTATCTAGAGATTTGTGTCTACGACTGCGTTCTTGTCAGAAAATCTGCCAGTAGATGGGGAGTGTACAACCACAATTACTGTACAACTGGCAGATTTTTGTCTTTCAAGCAGGCTAGAAAACCTTTCTCTAATTGGATGAAAATTTACAGGTTAGTGTCATGGTTGCACAACAAAAATCTCAAGATGCAAACTGCACATGCTCCAATGAAAATCTGTCCTTTTGATCAATGAAAATCAGTCAGGTGATGGTGCTGACAAATGTTAATTGTGAACGACATTGGTCTGTGCATGATAGGCTAGTTGTAAGAAAATTGAATGAGGGTGAGATGTCTGGACAACAAAAGTTGTACAATGGTTGTAAGGTGTATTTTACTTACAGAGAGTCAGTGTCTCGGCCATAAAGATGGGCAAAGGTTCACCATCAGTTGTTGAACAATTTCAGAATAATGTTCCTCAACATAAAATTGCAAAGTCTTTAAATATATCATCATTACATATCAAAAGATTCCAAGATTTTGGAGACATTTTTGTGCGCAAGGGACAAGGCCAAAAGGCAATACTGGATGTCTATTACCTTCGGGCCATCAGGCAGCACTGCATTAAAAACGGGCATGATTCTGTGATGGACATCACTGTGTGAGTTCAGGAATACTTCCAAAAATCACTGTCTGTGAAAACAGTTCGCCATGCCATCCAGAAATGTCAGTTAAAGCGCTATCATGCAAAGAAGCCTTATCTGAACATAATCCAGAAACGCTGCTGTCTCCCCTGGCCAAAGCTCATTTAAAATGACCTTCTGCAAAGTGGAAAACCGTTCTGTGGTCAGATTAATTGAAATTTGACATTCTTTTTGCCAACCATGGACACCATGTCCTCTGGACTAAAGAGGAAGAGAATCCTTCCGGCTCATCAGCGCTCAGTTCAAAAGCCTGCATCTCTGATGGTATCGGGGTGCATTAGTGCATATGGGATGGGCAGCTTGTACATCTTGAAAGGCACCATCAATGCTGGAAGATATATCCAGGTTTTAGAGCAGCATCCAGACAACGTCTGCCTTGCATATTTCAGCAAGACAACCGCATACTGCATCTATGACAACATCATGGCTTTGTAGTAGAAGAGTCCAGGTGCCTAACTGGCCTGCCTACAGCCCAGACCTTTTACCAATGGAAAATTTTTGGCGCATCTTAAAACAAAAACTACGACAAAAGACCCAGGACTGTGGAGCAGTTAGAATCCTATATCTGGCAATGATGGAAAAGCATTCCTCTCCCAAAACTCCAACAACTGGTCTCAGTTCCCAGATGTTTACAGAGTGTTGTTAAAAGAAGACAGGGTGCTACACCGTGGCAAACATGGCCCTGTCCCAACTTTTTTGAAACGTGTTGCAATCATGAATTTCAAAACGACCTTATTTTTTTCCGAAAATGGTACATTTTCTCATTTTACATGCGATAGGTTTTCTTTTGCAAATAAAATATGGGTTAATGAGATTTGAAAATCATTGCTTCTGTTTTTATGTAGGTTTTACACAGCGTCCCAACTTTTTTGGAATTAGGGTTGTAAGAAGTGGGCCTACCAGGTAAACTCAAATGCCCCATAATTAGTTGTTAAAGGTCCACCTGTGTGGAATCAAAGTGTCGCATGATCTGTCACATGATGTCAGTTATAACTGTTCTGAAAGGCCCCTGAGTCTGGAACACACCTAAACAAGCAACATAAGGACCAAGGAGCGCTCTAAACGGATCAGAGACAAAGTTGTGGAAAAGTTTAGATCGGGGTTGGGTTATAAAAAATCCCAAACTTTTAACATCCAACAGAGCACCAATAAATCCATTATAACAAATGGAAAGAATATGGCACCACTACAAACCTGACGAGAAGGAAATGACTGTTGCATTCAACTTTCTGTGCAGCCGATGTGATTGGACGCTCTGATCTTCTCTGGAGACCAGCACCAGAGGCTCTTATGCTTAGATCTATACTGAGCCTTCACTCCCCATGACTGGGGATCACAGTAGAGTATGTTTATGTTTAACGGCGCTGCGCCATGACAAAGTGCAAAATTAAGACTATACTACAACAGACTGCACTTTCCATGATGGCGCTAGCCTGCAACCCATGAAAGACTGAAGTAAGTTAGAACAATTTGCATGCACCACAGCTAAGGACTCTTACCATAAGTCTTATATCCACACAAATGGGGACACAAAGGGTATTCAGGCCCAGAGACACTAACGGCCCAGTCGAAGGGAGTTATTAGCACAACCACATGGCCACCTACTGACTTTACATAGGCCACTGGTATCTCCTAATAGAATACACGCAACACACCGAATATTCGGGGGTAACTGAAACCACTTTGAGAGGAGTATTTTCTGTGGTACATCATTAAAGGGCCTTCTGACCAGCCTAAAAATATCAAGGAAGACCTAGCACTGGTGTGCTAAGGCATGCATAAAATAAGTCAACACAGCCACAGCCCTACAGGGTTAAGTGATCTCCCTGGAGGTTAAGGTCCCACCCTTACATGAGACATAAAAATGACACAAGCCATGACCAATGCCTAGAATACATGGAAATCATAAATACCATCTGCATACTAGGCCTACCTGAACATACAAAGGCTAAAAACCCAATGGAATTTAACGAAAATTGACTGCAGGTGGCATTTGGGAAGGACAGTTTTATGCCACCGTTTGCTGTGAAGCATTTGCTCATATTGCCTCCTTCCTCCAGAGAATCTCCAGCGTTCCTTAATCCTTAAAATGCTTGATTTACAGGGATAGAGACACTCTCCTAACGCCTGTACCAGGGAAGACTTCAAATAAATGAGTCAAAACTTTTTCTTGATTTCTCTGTGTAGACAAAGAGCAAAATACACCGATGTCCAAAAGCTACTCAAACTTCTGCAGATACCATATTGTGTTGTACCCGACCAAACTACAGGTGGTGGCAAGGGATAGAACACTTTTTCTTTTCTCACACACCGGACGTGGTAGACTCTCGACTAGACAGGAATATGCAACATCTTAAGCTGGCTATACACCTATAGATTATCTGCAGATTTTCTATGGTCAGATGGAAACCGATTCCTTCATCTACACTAAACTGTGTGGATGGAGGAGTCTCCCACTGAGCCAAGCTTCAGTATCTTGCTAGTCAGCCCCGTTTGCTAACAAACCTGACCTGAACAATCTGATTGGATGCATGAATTGTTCAGGTATTTTTAGAGCCAGCGGGGCCGACTAGCAAGATATTGAAGTTTGGCCCAGTGGGAGATTCCTCCATCCACACAGTTTAGAGTAGATGGAGGAATCTGTTGCACTTTTTCCATCTGACAATAGAAAATTTGCAGATAATCTATAGGTGTATGGCCAGATTTAAAAACAAAAATGAGTAACTGCTCTATCTTTTTTACAATAATGCTAATCTGCAACTACCTTCAGCCTCAAGAATCCTCATGCGGTGATTGAATACGAGACAGTTTAACTATGAGTATGTTTTGATCACTGGGCCAACATCCCCAGCAAGTTTTATATGGACATCTAAGTCGATGGAACATCCCCAGCAAGTTTTCTCGTGTGGAATTTGCTATTCATTTTTTGTTCATGGTTTTGTTTTGTACAAACCAGTGTTTTGCCACTTTTATTTGACCTGCCCTGGATGTGCGCTACATTTACTGGACATGAATGTATTTGCAGTCCTTGCAGATCCCATTTGGAGACTGCAAGTTCTGTTCCATATGAACCCACCCCTGTTGGACATCGATGACCTTGAATTTTTTCACGATTGTGACACCCTGGAGATTTATTTGCTAGGAATTTACCTGGGGTTTTGCTGCGGCCGGAACTTAATTACTGTCTCATGGAACGTGGGGAGGTTGAATGACCCAAATAGGGTGAAAAATACTGTTTGTCTCACAATATGACCCATCTGTGGTCTGTCTGCAGAAAACACACCTGACTAGATTCCACTACCATTCTTCAAAGGACTAAATACAAAACAAAACTGACATCCTTCAGACAGGAAATGAGGGTAGGCTCAATATAGCTGCTGCGGGTTCAAAAGCGGAGCTGTACCTTTGCAGGGAATTTCAGTAATCAGTTTCCATACAGGATAGGGAAGTTGAGTGGGTTTTTTTGCTTCAAATGTCAAGAAGTGGCATTTTATTCAGTTCTATTCATTGCAGCATCTTGCTATGCAGTTTAATGCATTGCAATACGCTGTGATGAAAAACGTATTGCTTACCATACTTTTTTCATTGCACACCACTGCATTAAACTGGAATGGAAGGAAACGAGCCAAATTGCTGTGTCTATGCGTAAGCCCAGCGCAGCCCAACACACCTGATGTGAACAGGCTCTAAAGCAGAGTAAATATGGCTGCTTTAATGATGACTGTTTTGAAAACCTATAGAAAAAAAACATTTCAAAACATAAACACATACTGATAACATTTACGTCATGCTGTGCCCTTTACATTAACAATAAAAAATAATCAACTACATTTTGTTAGAGCTATGCCATTTTGCAGTGCAAATGGGTGTTTAATGTTTGAAAAAGACCAAAATGTTTTAATGGCAGCCTATAAACCTTTTTAATTCATTTACCATTTTGTTTTGTGCTTTTTTTTGTAATGTTGTGGCATTTCATTGTGTAATGTTACAGTATTTTATTTATCTTTCTATGCAGCAAGTTTCAAACGACCAGTTGTGGTATTAGGTCCTATATCGGACATTGCACACATGAAGCTTTGTTCTGAGTTGCCACAGGAATTTGAGGGTGCAGGTGAGTTATATTTAAAAAAAAATATTTGATTCATTTGACCTGATAATTATAAGAACCCTGTGAGGATAAAAATATGAGAGCTGCCAATGCTGCCTTATTTTTTATTTTGTTTAAAAAGCACAGTCTCTAGATCTACCATCCTGATTTTAGCTGCAGAAATGAGTCACTAAACTGACAGGAAGGGGGTGCATACTTTGAGGAACTCACTTGCTGCCAGTTTCCTTTAGATCAGTTACGAGCATCAGGATAATAGCCTTGGAACCTACACTTAAAAAAAACCCCAACTTTCGTATTGCCATCATCACATAATTCATAAAAACGCAAGTTTTATTATACAGAGTCCACTTTTTTCCATTTAACAAAATTTGTAGTATCTTGGGATTTGGATCTGTATACACTAATCAGTCATAACATAATGACCACTGACACGTGAAGCGAAGTGTAGTCCGATCCAATAGAAGAGCTACTGTAGCTCAAATTGCTGAAAAAGTTAATGTTGGTTCTGATAGAAAGGTGTCTGACAGTTCATCCCAGTTTATTGCAAATGGGGCTATGTAGCTGCAGATTGGTCAGGGTGCCCAATTCCCCACAATGAGTTTGAGGTGTTGAGTTTTCCAGATCTCAATCCAACTGAGCCTCTGTGGGATCTGCTGGAAAAACAAGTCTGATCCTTGGAGGCCCCTCCTTTCAGCTTACAGTGACATTAAAGCATAACAAATTTTTCCCTCCCCCCAAAGTTACATAGTATTTGAGGTTGAATAAAGACATTAGTCCATCAAGTCCAACCTATAGGATCTCATTTTTAGGAGTACTGTCTATGTACTGTACTGTACTGTTAATGTCAGCACGTACCTTAAATGATGTCTCTTAATCCGATCTTCTTTCCTGTCATTTTACATCTGTCCCTCCAATGCTGCTGCGGGTCTCCGATCCAGCGCTGACTCCTCTGTGCTTGCTGGCACTTTCTGTCCCACGGTGTCTGCATGCGGGTGCACGCCGTCCATATACTTACCTTGTGTGTCTCCCGGCCGAACATCTGAACTGCGCATGCGCCCGCCCCAAGATCCTTTGCGGCCGCCCGGGATTTCTCTTCCGTTCATTGAAGGACACAGGGAACAGGTCTAGGGTCATGTACAAGGGTATATCGCCACCTTCAGGAGAAGGACGCTAGGCACACAACTAAAGACTAAACCAGCCTAAGGGCGGCCCCTGCTGCTGGCCAAATCCCCCACCTGGTGACAAGTCTTCCGTTTTTTGCCTAGCGTCAGGAGTAAGGAGCTCAGAATTTTTTCTCCCTTGAATTCTTCTCTGCTTTGTCCTTTTTTTCACTGACCTTCTAGCTCGTCAGGGCGACAAGCTGGATGTTGTGGATCTTTGGAGTCTCCCCTGTACAGCCTTCGAGCGCACGCAGACTCTGCCATGGTGGGTCGGCTGCGACAACTCTGCCCTTTCGGCAGAGTGGCCTGTAGGTTCGCCCGGTGGTGTGCATATGACTGGGGGTCTCGGGCTCCCAGTCACAGCACTCCATACAGGCTGGCAGGGCCGCGACGACGGTCGGGGGCGTTTTTTCCGCAGTCCCTGCCTCCCCGTTCCTTTTTCCCCTACATGGATCTGGTTCCACGGGGTGGTCCTCCAAAGTCGGTACCTGGACGTGAGGCGGTGGGCAGGGACTTCGCTTTGACCCCACAGGTGTGGTATGTATGTGGGGATGGGCGGGAGCTGTGTGGGCCTGGTGGCAGGAATCCTTCTATTGCGGACTTCAGGGGGTCTGAGGATTCTGGTGCGGTGGGGGGTCTCTGCTGCCGCAGTTCCTTGGCCTGTCAGGCTTGGGGTAGGAGTCCTAACAGAATCCTCAGGAGGTCCCCCCCCCTCCTTCCCTCCCTCCATGATGCCTTGCTAGTGCAAGGCCTTTACCTGGCTTGCAGTGGTCCAGGGGTGCCAGCGAGGTGCGGTGGGCGGCTCTGATGGTTGGAAGCTCCATGGCCATGGGTCTCCTGCATTTAGTCCCCGGCTTCAATTGCGGCCTAGTGGGAAGCGAAGTTTCGGCGGCTGTGGCGGTCCTTTCCATCGGAGGATTGCTGGGAGTGAGACGTGCTCCTGCTGCTTCCCCACAGGGGGCAGGTATGGGTGACCAGGAGTCGGACTGTTGCGGTTCTTCCACTAGCCTGCGGGGTCGTGAGTACCTCTGGGGTCCCCCCGCCTGCTGTCATTGCATCCAGAGGTCTTTCATCAGCTCTGCCTGCGCTGGGGGACACTGGATGTGGACCTCCTGGCATCCCATTTCAATCGACAGGTCGATCGGTTTGTAGCCCGGGCCCAGGATCCCTGGGCGAAGGCGGTGGATGCCCTGGTGGGACCTCCTCTGCCTTCCCTCCTCTGTATCTGTTGCCGCACCTTCTTCGTAGGATAGCGGCCGAAGGCATTCCCGTCATTCTCGTGGCTCCGGACTGGCAGAGGAGAGCGTGGTACGCAGACGTGGTTCGGTTGGTTGTGGACGTTCCTTGGCGGCTGCCACTTTGTCCGGATCTTCTGTCCCAGGGTCCTGTGTTCCATCCTTCATTACAGTCGCTGGCTTTAACGGCGTGGCTGTTGAGAGCCAGGTGTTGAGGGACCGTGGTTTGTCTGACCCTGTTATTTCCACGATGCTCAAGACCCGCAAGGCACTTGGAGGGCATACTTTGCCTGGTGTGTGATGGTGTGTGATGGGTGGATCATGGTTTGGTCCCGAGTACGGTGAAAGGCCAAATTTCGGCTCTGGCTGTTCTTTTTCAGCGACCATTGGCATCGAATGCCTTGGTTCTCACTTTTGTGCAGGGGGTTACACGTATTATTCCCCCTGGTCGGTCTCCCTTGCCGCCTTGGGATCTCAATTTGGTACTCTTGGTTTTGCAGGAGTCTCCTTTTGAACCATTACAGGAGATTCCTCTTCTGAGTTTGTCCCAAAAGGTGGCTTCTTTGGTAGCCATTAACTCGGTTCGCAGGGTTTCAGAGTTGGCGGCCTTGTCTTGCAAGTCACCGTTGTTGGTCCTTCATAAGGACAAGGTTGTTCTGCGTCCTCGTCCGTCGTTTCCACCTAAGGTTGTTTCGGCGTTCCATCTTTATGAGGACATTGTCTTGCCTTCTCTTTGTCCTAAGCCCGTTCATAGGAAGGAAAGGGCGCTGCACTCTTTGGACGTGGTTCGCGCTCTCCGGGTTTATTTGGATGCGACTGCCTCTATCCGCGAGTCGGATTCCCTGTTTGTGGTTACAGAAGGGCCTCGAAAGGGACAGGCTGCTTCCGCGGCCACAATCTCTAGATGGATTCGAAACACCATGATTCAGGCGTATGCCATTCGGGGGTGTGAGCCTCCTTTTTCTGTTACTGCCCATTCCACTAGGGCTGTCGGGGCATTTTGGGCTTTTCGTCATGGTGCCTCAGTGTCTCAGGTTTGTAAGGCCGCTACTTGATCTTCTGTTCACACCTTTGCCAAGTTTTATAAGGTGGATGTATTGGCATCTGCGGATGCTGGCTTGGGGCGCAAGGTTTTGCAGGCGGCCTTTTAGTGGGGTCTTGTTTGTGCCCACCCCTCTTTGGAACTGCTTGGTGACGTCCCTACGGTACATGATCCTAGATCTGTTCCCTGTGTCCTTCAATGAACGGAAGCTAGGAGGAGGGAAAGAAGCTGCGGTGTGGGTACTGCCTTACCTCTAGCCATTATATAACGTTTCCTACTCAACAGCTGGTTTGTGAATTTTTTTCTGGGTGTTTTATATAAGTTGCAGCATGTGTTGGATCTCAAATGCAAAGGGAGTGGTCCCACAGGCCTCAATCCTCTAACTTCTCTTGGGTCAGCTTGCAGTGCCCCTCTTCATGGACCTGACACCAATAGCCTGGATAGTTGTCCCCTGCTTGAATCCACACCTACTTCAAAGTCTGCCTTAGCTCCTTCAGGTGTGGCCCCTCCTCTGACTAAAGGTGCCCATACACTGTACGATCGTACGAGAATCGTACAGTGTATGGAAGGCGTGCGACCGTTTCTACTGTACGGTCGCACGTCTTCCATCGAAAGAATGAGTTTTATACAGCTGTGCTAGATTTGGTGAACAAAATTACTGGCGTGGTAGATGACTCAAGAGTCTTAACCACACCTCTGAGCTGTCCTCTTTATCGGACATTCATGCAGCTGTGGCAGCCTCTGAGCCGCCTTCTATGGATTGGCTGTGGGACGAGGAGTCTCGCAAATCCTTTCTGGACGAGTTTGTACCTGAGGAGTCGCAGACTGCTCCTATAACTTCCAAGCCTGAAGATACCATATCCAATCCTAACTGAGGCAGTGAGCACATGTTTAACAACCTCCTGTCTGCCGAACATTGAAAAACGGCCGGACGGGAGACTTCTGGGTGCGGGTGGGCTTCTGTAGACATCCTTCGTGCCCGCACGTGAAACCGCCAGAATTTTAAACGGCCAGCGATGGCCGTTTACATACAAGCGGTCCGGCGTCTGTAAAGACGCCCAATCGCTAGTATGATGCAAGTCTCTGTGCCCCCTCCTTACCTCTTCTCGTGGTCCCCGCCGCCTCCGTCCATGCGATCCCGGGCGTCCGATCCAGGAACGGCAGTGTGGCTCTGTGCACGGAGAACAGAGGGAGATCAGTGCAGGTTCTGCTTCCGCTCTCATCCCCGGTCTCTGAATGCAGGAAGTGATGTTTACTACATCACTTCCGCATTCCTCTTTCACTCTCCGCTGTGATTTCGCAGGCGCGCGTAATTTTAAGGCTTCACATGTTAGGTGTCTATTTACCCGACATGACCCGTCTTTTATATTTTACCAAAAACTGGGTAATAATAAATGTTTCCTAACATAATAAAGGGAAAACTGTTTGTTTTTTTCCATTATATAGTCAAAAATAAAATCAGTGGTGATTTAAATATCACCAAAAGACAGCTCTATCTGTCCTCAAAAAACGGTATAAGATTCAATTCAGTACAGCGTTGCATGACGGAACAAACGTCAGTCAAAG